GTTAAGCTGCTTTCACACAATCTACATTGTAAAAGCGGCATAGAAATAAAGAAGAACAGAATTGAATTAAAACAACCAAGTTTTTTTTTGAGTGCATTCTTTATTCAAATCCAGATCACAAACTTTTAGGCATGTTTGTGTTGATATTTTAATATTCATGTGCATGCTGCGATCAGTGGAAAAGAAAATGAAAATATGTTTATGCCCTTAATGAGTTTTACACAAGCAGCATGCATGTGTGTGTGTGTTCCGTGTTTGTGTGTGTGTGTGTGTGTGTGTCGTGCTGTGGGAGAAACAGAACCTATTTATACATTGACCAGGCGTTTTCCTGTGTGGTGTTTATAGTGGATGCCTGTGGATTATGGCTGCAGTAAAGTAGCACTTGGTAAAGTTTCTGTCATTCCATGGATATTCTAGGAATATACCATAAGTCCCAAAGAGCAAAGATAAACAAAGATCATAGTTTGAGAACAGCTGTGTTTTTTAGATTGCAGAAGACAAAGCAAACTCAGATTTGATAGCTCATGACAGTTTTCTAGTAATTACTAAAGGCAAAAATCAACATCACTAAAAATTTGTTGGCCACACTAATACATTTATGTTTAAAAACACCCCCCCCCCATTTTGCCCTGTTGTCCAAACTGAGATTTATTCATTCATACATTCATTCATTTTCTTTTTGGCCTAATCCCTTTATTAATCCGGGGTTGCCACAGCGGAATAACCGCCAACTTATCCAGCATATGTTTTATGCAGCGAATGCCTTTCCAGCCACAACCTAACACTGGAAAACATCCATGCACACTCATTCACACACATACACTACGGACAATTTAGCCTACCCAATTCACCTATAGCCATCTTTGGACTTGTGGGTGAAACCGGAGCACTCGGAAGAAACCCTCGCGAACACGAAGAGAACATATAAACTACACACAGAAATGCCAACTAATGCACATTCATGCACACACATACACTATGTGTAACCAGCGACCTTCTTGTTGTAAGGCAAACATGCGCCCCACAGCTCCACTGTATCACCCCAAACTAAGATGGACTTTTTATAGACAAATTAAGCTTTTTTTTTCTTTTGCTTTGTGCCGCAGTCATGGGACCTAGTCAAAAATGTAGACAAAAAGCATTTTTAACAAAAACACATTTTTCAAAAATATCCTAATTAAACCAAGAACAACAAAAAAATCTAACAAAATATAACCTCAACATTAGAGAAAAACATTGAGCAACTTTTGGAAAATGCGTAAAAAGATTTAAATTATAAATAAAATAAGTGACTATGTACTGCTGAATATACTAACTAAGTTTGCCATCTGGAGAAACAAAAACAACAAACATTGATCGCACACTTACCAAATCTGTAGAGACAGGACAATCAACGCCAACTGGAACTGCGTCTTTTTTTAAAAGAAGACGATTGGAAAAAACTTTCAGATTCGAAAAGCTGAGGTAAAAAATTTAGAAATCAAATTGTGTCGCGTGGTAGCAGTCCACTGTAATCCAACTGCTGGGCCCACACGCAAGCTGCGCCTACATCATGAGCAAATGGATACAAAACCTTTGTTGTGGCACATTTAAAAACGCAACACTGTAGAACCATGTCTCTGAATTACGGTTGGCAATGTGGCATCTCCCTGAACACTGTAACAGGAAAAAAGAGTCGTCGAAGCTATACCATACATATTAATGAATTTGCATCTCGTTCACAATAGAGTACGCTGATTGGTTTGAACCAAGTCTTTCTCATGAATTAATGAACAGATGTGCTGAAAACTCAATGACATCACTTTGTACCGGCCAGTACAGACATCCAGTCTCCACTCCAGAATATACACAAAGATCTCATCTCCGTGATGTGGCTTCAAAATTTCCTTTCAAATTGGAAGGACGAATTTGCTCGAAACAACGCAAAAACAACCAATTTTCACTCTTCAGTGAAGTATATGTATTCTAATAGTGCTTTTAGCAAAATTAACTATATATATATATATATGTCTGTCAACATCTCAGAAAATGTGTTTTGGTGTTTTATGACCTTTTAACAACAGGACAAAACAAAACGAGACAGGGAATTGTTTTTTTTTTTTAACAATTTAAAATAAAAATATGAAATGTACAATTCCTAGACATCCCAAAGATCATATGCACCATCCCAAGGTCCATGTCAAAAACAGTGAACATCCCGAAGTACAGCTGTCCCTTAGAGACAAAGAATGACACAATGCAAAACAGCCTGGAGACTTACAAGACAGAGACAGGAGTGAAGACTTGCTGTTTGTCACGCTAAGACAATAGCAGCTCAGTGAGGGTAAGATTCTGACAAGCTAAAGCCTCTATTTGTTAAACAAAAACAGTAAATAGCCAAGGGCAACTCATAATTCAATCTGCAATGATTGCATGGGTGCAGAGTGAAGTTAAAGATCTGAGGGGTCGTAAGTTCAGATCCTGCAAAAGTTGATCTAGGAAGCATTATCTTGTTCCACTGGGAACTAAAAAACAACAGTTATATGTCAGATTGTGTAACTATAGCATCATAAATGGGTTATATGCTTGCATGAGACAGTGTTTCATTATAATCCCATCAGCAGACCAAAAATGTTTCTACGTGACATGATCATATACTGATTTAGGAGTATTACCATTAAACTCTGCAGCCACAGAAAAAGAAAAGAAACTGGGCTTGTATTAAAATCAAAAATGTCTGTAAAAACAAATATTATGGTTATAGTTGTAGGAGGAAGCATTCAAAAGAAACCTCAACCTTATGCAAGTTTGCTATTAAAACATCAACAGGGCAGTGGATGGACTCTTTTGCAATCCCATAGTGACAAGACTAAAATTTGTATGTGTTTGGGCACAGATTATGGATCTGCGGTGAAATATGAAAGTGGCATGGCTGTATAAATGTGTAGAGAAAAATAATGATTCCCAGGCCTGCTTTACAGGATCAGCTGCAACTCTGTGACATCATGCAGAGGGCTTGAAGTTCCCACGCTGCACTGCACGTGAACCAGCCTCAGGGACCAGACCATTATAGACTTTCACTCTCAGGCATGTAAACACACAATCAAGCCCTCCTCAAGTTTTCCAGTCCTTCTTTGTCAGTGTCAACAATCAGAGAGACATTGTTATTTCAGAATCGAAATGCTCATCCTTACACAATTTGACTGACCTGGAATGGTTAATCTAGCATTTTCACAAACACAGAACATTGGTATCTTAAATGTCACCTAAATCATCTAAGAGTTTTCACATTGTGCAGGAAAAAAACAAAACATGAAGTGGTGGGATTCCAGAGACTTACAGTTTGTATATTGGAGTATTAATATTTAAGAAACCACCAAAAACTTTTACAAGCACCAGAGTACCAAAGAAACCATCTTAATACCCCAGGAACCACTAGAAACCCTAACTTTTACCCAGAACATCCAACCAAGAACCTTAACCTAACCACCCAAACCACATCGGTGTACCAAAATAACCATTAAAATATCCTAGCAGCAACCACTAGAAACTCCAACCTTTACCCAGAACACAACCATGAACCTTAACGTAACCACCCAAAACACCACCAGTGTACCAAAGTAACCATCGATATATCTTAGCAGCAACCACTAGAAACCCAAACCTTTACCCAGAACACACAACCAAGAACCTTAACCTAACCACCCAAACCATCGCCAGTGTACCAAATAACCATCAAAATATCTTAGCAACAACCACTAGAAACCCCAACCTTTACCCAGAACACACAACCAAGAACCTTAACCTAATCACCACCGGTGTACCAAAGTAACCATCAAAATATCTAAGCAGCAACCACTAGAAACCCCAACTTTTATCTAGAACACACAACCAAGAACCTTAACTTAACCACCCAAACCATTACTTGGGTACCAAATTAACCATAAAATATCTGAGCAGCAACCACTGGAAACCCCAACCTTAACCTAGAACACACAACCAAGAACCTTAACCTATCCACCCAAACCATCACCAGTGTACCAAAGTAACCATCAAATTATCTTAGCAGCAACCACTAGAAAGCCCAAACTTTACCCAGAACACACAACCAAGAACCTTAACCTAACCACCCAAACCATCTCCAGTGTACCAAAATAACCATCAAAATATCTGAGCAGCAACCACTAGAAAACCCAAACTTTTATGTAGAACACACAACCAAAGAACCTTAACCTAATTATCACTGGTGTACCAAAGTAACCATCAAAATATCTTAGCAGCAACCACTAGAAACCCCAACCTTTACCTAGAACACACAACCAAGAACCTTAACCACCCAAATAAAATATCTTAGCAGCAACCACTAGAAGCCCCAACCTTTACCCAGAACACAAGGGAAACAAACCCTTAACACTTACCTAATCTAACCAACCAAAACAATCACCTGAGTACCAAACTAAACATCAAAATACAGCACCAAAAACAACAGCCACAACAACAAACAAAAAAAATTGTTTGCTCAACAATCGCATAATCAGTCTTCAGAGAATTGGCATCATTCAAAATACATTATCAACCACACAAAACACTACAACATTTCTTAAAAATACTCTATAAAGCAGCAGAATACCTGAGCAACACCCCATAGTACCCCTTACATCTATCCAGAGCAGCTTATCAAGCAACACTCTGGCAAATACACAAGTTCTGCATAAGTAAGCATACCTCATATTTTCTTCAAAATGTTTATCCTATTTTAGTGAACATATGAAAATCAAGGAAAGCAAAACAAAGGTGTAGTACTGCATAATATACTTTGACAAGTTGCAAATTCATCCTTATCTGATGCTGTCTTCGCTGGAAGGGAGTAACATCTCTTGCTACAAGAAGTTGCAAAACTTTTGACTGACATTCAGACAAACACAGTTCCTTTACCACAAGCAGACACTTGATCATCCGACACTGCAGCATACAAATAAACATGAACTCATCACCTGTAAACAAATACGGGAAGCACCCACCTTGGTCAGCCTCATGTTTCCCCTGGATTTTGCTCTCTCCCTCCTTAAAGACCCTCTCACGGGTACTGGATCTGGCTCGTCCCCACAGCTATCCCCACTTAAGGCGCAACCCATATAGAGGCCTGGACCCTGCTGGTCCGTCTCTTCTCTCTCCCTCTCTCTGGATGAGGTTTCCCGAGCACACAAGAGGCAGCTGTTTTTGTTCGCTCACTCGAAGCCCTTCCCCTTTTCCTGGCTTTAATTCAAACACACACACATGTTCGCCAGTTCACACTCATCTGTCTCTCGTGAGCACACGTATGTAAACAAAGGTGAGAATATGCCTATTAAATCAAAAGTCTATTAGCACTCTTAGCCTGCGTACGGTCAGCCAAACGTACACAACTCACAAGCCAACATCAAGAGGATATCAGCCCCCACCCCCTACTTTTCCCAGAAACACACACACCATTGTGCTCAAGTGATCTGTCTTTCAGAACGTAAACAAACGACTGTTGACTTTTCTTCCTTAATTGCTCATTTTTAGTGTTAGAGGCACATCCAACGATACCTCAAATCATGCAATTTATTGGGGAGTGGTGTGTTTGATCTTTCCCATATAAAAGATTAATGTTTATCTTGTAGGAAAAAATCAAGACGTATATTTAAGAAAGGACCTTAACTATTTCTAGTGACTTGGATATTACAGTGACTTTGAACATGTTAGTGATCAAAATGTACAATCTAGTTACAACCCAGAATACCCTAGCAACCACATAGCAACTTTTTAGAAACTAGCCAAAACGCAATAGTAAATTACCTAGCAATGCAATTGTAGTAATCACACACTTTCAATCTGTAGGAAACCCTTGTAATCCAGAATGCCCAAGGAATGTTCTTTTAACGCTTAAGTAACTATCCCATTAAGTAACCTAGGATGCCAATTGGTATGGGGTCACACAAGAAATCATTAATTATTTCAATTTTATTTATTATTCGAGTCTGAACGATCTTTAATTTTGAAAAGTGACCATATTTTCTCACTTTTATCTCGGTCACTTAAGCGTCAAAATGAACCTACAAGCAGCAAAATGAGTAAGAAACAGAAAGCAACCTACGAAACCCTGCTCCAACCCTGGTCTGCTGTGTAATTGTTGAAACATTGAGCGGTCCGCGGTGATGAAATGGATGGGACCAACACCATAAAGCGCTATCTACATAGTATTATATTAAATAACCTTATATTTGCTTATAGATTGTGCGTCCACTGTGGGCCACTTACTATGCGTTCACACCACAGGCAACGAGAGTATCAAAGTTTGCTCTGGCCGCCCGGTCGACGATGATGTCTGCTTTTACAGCACTGCCGACGAGATCGTCAAAATTCGCTATCTTGTTTTTAAAGGGGCTGTTGCATATCAGCAAATCACTTACATTCCTGCATAAAAACATGCTTTCTAGTTTGAAAATGTTGCACACCTTTTATCAAATTCATTTGACTGTGGAAGATCTAGTTGTTGCATGTGTTGTGGCTTTGTTCCACCTATCCAATACGTCCATATGTGTGAAATATTCTGAAGCAGCAATACTGTTTCGTACTGTCGTATAGATAGGAACAACTGTGGTTGGTACCAAAGTTCACAGGACTGTGTTGTCTGCGATCTAATGGACTTCTACATTCCGATTGGTTGCCGCTGAACCGCATCATAGCTCATTACCATAGAGTTGACTTGATTTCAACTCTCCTCTGCTCACACCAGCGAAAATGTGGCGCCTCACTTCTCGCTGCTTGTTGCCGCTGGCTTCCATTGAAAATTAATGACTTCCCACTATATTGACGCTTTAGCCACCAGAGGTGTGAGTTCACATTTAGAACAGCAAGGTAATCACTTCACAAAGTTCTACCAACTACCCAGACAGCACAAGTAATCAGCAAATAATGCGCTAGCAACCACAAAGAAGAGTGAAACAATCATTTTGCAATGTCCCAAGCCATCACTCATTCACAGTGTACACTAGCAATTACTTAGCATAGGCCTAGTAAACACTCAAAAACACAGGGGAAGAATTTGACTTGAGATCCAACACTCTCTTCCACCCTCAATTCCATGGCTGAGGGGATTCCCTTGGGCAAGGCACGGAACCCCTTTTGCAATGTCCCATCATCCACCCAAGCCATCACTCATTCATAGTGTACACTTGCAATTACTTAGCATAGGCCTAGTAAACACTCAAAAACACAGGGGCAGAATTTGACTTGTGATCCAACACTCTCTTCCACCCACAATTCCATGGCTGGGGGGATTCCCTTGGGCAAGGCATGGAACCCCGACCAACCCACTTGCTCTGGGTTAGTGTTCATCTTCTAAATGCTGAAAGTAAATGTAAACTCTTTTAATCACCTGACCATAGCAACCACCAGAATACCCAAGCTTTGCAAAGCCCTAGCAACCAACTAGAACTCCAAAACAATGACTTAGCTATGCATGAGCAACCACCCGGGACATCTAATCAGTCAGAATAGGCAACACTGCAATAAGCAATCTCTCTGATTAACTAAGTAATTGCGCATCTCAGCATTAAAAAAAAACATTTAAAAACTTTTTATACTGAAATAATTTTCTCTGCCACTTTGCACCACTTGATCTAACAAGAACAAGGTCTCTTGTTAGAATCTGGACTGAAGAATGGCTTTGGAATGAAGTGAAGCGACAGTTTGTCTCCAGTATCTACAACGCAGAACATGCAACTCTTACAGATCTTCCAACCTCAAAGGGGTTTCTCATGCTAAGATCACACTAAATATCTCTCGACTTCACTCATCCATTTCACTCATTTTTCCTCGCATATTTTCCCAGTATTCTTGTGGAGCAGGCCAACTGAAACCACGACTATTCACCAGGAAATGAAATGGCGTATCAGACCACAACAACCATTGCTGGGAATAGAGGGAAGCCGCAGCTCTGCAGGGCTTTGGGCTGAGCTGGTATGTAAGTTGGCAGTGTTGATGTGTAGCTGCTGGGCTTAGGCTGTGTAACTGAGAACCTGTGTGAACAGAATCAGCCCTTCAGAGCCGATTTACCCTGACGAGGCCTCCCAAAGCCAAACTCTCAAACTCTGCTTCTCTAAGACCATTTGAAACGGCATGTTTTCAGTTTTCTTGTGGAACTTTTTCTTTTCTCAAAGGAGAATAAGAGATGGAGTTGGAGTTAGGGGGGGTGGGGGTGACAGGATGGCCTGTGGGACAATTAAATCGTACCCCTTTTAAGGCAAATTCCACTCGTGCCTCCTCAGCCCCTCTTGTTTTCCTCCCTCCTCTTTTCCTGTTCTCTCTCTCTCTCTCCCCAAAGGCACACACAGGCCAACTTTCTATTGAATGCCAATGTCGCAGTAACAACTTTTTCAGGTACACTGAAATGATTTCTCTTCTTGTAAACACTTTTCTGCCTGTATTGCACAATGTTGTATCTTGGAGTTCACAGGTCTCCAGGAGACCTATCTGGAAAAATCATCAGCTGAAAATTCTGAAAACACATTAACAGATTAGTCAAGTACCACTAGATGTGAGTACATGTAATCTATTAATGTGTTTGCAATGCAGCTAATAGCTTGCTTTGGAAAGAAAATAAACAGTTAATGCTAATGCTGAATTAGCTCCAAATGAAATCCAAATGCAAATGACTTAAAGTGGTGGTGATCCTAAAAATACAACCTAAAAAATGAAATCTTTAAATCTTTTAGCCTTATGTTGCAACTTGCTCTACACCTTTCTTTTATAAGTCTTACGGTTTTTAACTGGACCTTTCTACAAGGACATCAACGAGGTCCAACAAACAATTAGGGAAAAGCCTATTTTAACATTCATTCATTCTTCTATTCTTTCATTCTATCATTTTATCTTCGACTTAGCCCCTTCATTAATCTGGGGTCGCCACAGTGGAATGAACCACCAACTTAGGTTTTACACAGCGGATGCCCTTCCAGCTGCAACCCATCACTGGGAAACACACTTATTCACACACATAGACTACGGACAATATAACTTACCCAATTCACCTACATCACATGTCTTTGGACTTGCTGGGGAAACTGAAGCACCCATGCAAACGCGGGGAGAACATGCAAACTCCACACAGAAACGCCAACTGACCCAGCCGGGGCTCAAACTAGTGACCTACTTGCTGTGAGGTGATTGTGCCACCGTGCTGCCCCCCTATTTTAACAATCTGAACTTTGTTTATTAAAAAATAATGTTTGGAGTAATGTTTAACGTGAAGTTAAATAGTGAATGGTCATCTCATGCAAACAGGTAGTACCACTTAAAACAACAAAACTGGAATCCATTGCTGATTGTAACCAGTATGTAAATGCTCTAATTCCCACTTTTAACCCCTGGTAAAAGAACGTTAAACTCTTAACACCTCTTTATGTCCTACTTTGGACTATAATGTTAGGGCTAAATGCTTAGCAACTGACATTGTGAAGAAATGATGCCAAGGTATCCATAATCGTGGACCAGGCTGTATCCTGAGCAGATGCCAAGTCGGTCATGGAGGAGTGGGGAACATTAGACAGACAAGTCTTGGCATTGATGCCATGGGCCAGCCTGAACACCAGCTGGGTCACCTGCAGCTTCTCCATGATGGTCGTCAGCGTTCTCCTGCCTCCAGAGTCTAGACTGCAGCTTTGCACAGTAAGTCTGGGCAGAGGAGAAATGGTCGTGCCCAACTGAGCCTGGTTTCTCTCAAGTTTTTTTCCTTCTGTTTCTTCAATTGGGAGCAAAAGCTTTGCTTTTCGCCACTGTTGCCACTGGCTTGCTTGGTTTGGGACTTGCAGAGCTGCTCATCAATGAATTTGCTCTTCAGTGTATATTCAGCAGCAGGGGCGGACTGGGACTAAAAATCAGCCCTGGCCCTGTAGCCACACCAGCCCACATTACTACACCGACACAGCCCCATGCACGGACACGCACATTCACTACTTATTTTGGTGTACAGATGGTGAAATAATATAAGCAGTACCACATATGTAACAGATATTTAAACATTTAATGTATGTGACTGGAACAAAAACAAATTTATATATGTCATCATTCATTCATTTTCTTTGCTTAGTCCCTTTATTAATCTGGGATTTCCACAGCAGAATGAACCGCTAACTTGTCCACCATATGTTTTACGCAGCAGATGCCCTCTAAAGTGCAACGCACTGTGAAACCCCTATACACACACATTCACATACATGCACTACGGACAATTAAGCCTGCCCAATTCACCTACAGCACGTGTTTGGACTTGTGAGGGAAATCAGGAGGAAACCCACGCGAACATGCAAACTCCACACAGAAACACCAACTAACCCAGCCGAGGCTCGAAAAAGCATCCTTCTTGCGCC